GTATGGGTCCTTTGTCAGATATATGGTTTGCAAATATTTTCTCCCAGACTGTAATTTGAATTTTCATCTTTCTAACAGGTTTTTGTAGAGCAAAAGTTTTAAATTTACCCTTTTTTTTTTTAATGGATCGCGGTTTTGTTGTCTTAAGAACTTTTTTACCTAATTGTAGGTCCAAAAGATTTTCTCCTATATTATCTAGAAAAGTTTTATAGTTTTATATTTTACATTTAAACCTATGATCCATTTTGAATTAATTTGATATAAGATATGAGTTTTACATCAAGGTTCATTTTTTGCTTTTGGATATCAAGTTGTTCCAGCATCATTTGTTGAAAAAGCTCTCCTTCCTCCATTGAATTACTTTTGTACCTTCTTAAATTTCTATAAAACTTTCATACAGCTTTTATAACTTTATCAACTGACATAGTATTGGTATATTGAAGACTTCAAGTATCTTTTTGTGTATAACTGTCGTGTGTTCTTATAATCAGCATTTCTCAACTGTCATGTTTTTATGATCAGCATTCCCCCATGAAAATTATTTGGGGAGGCTTTCTAAACTACCAGATGGCCTCAGGTATTACAGTTCAGTAGATCTGAGGTGTGCCCCAATGTTTGTCTCTTGAAAAAGCCTCTTGTAATTTTTACAGCCACTGCTGAGAACCAACATGAATGAAACTTAAATTTTAGTTTTCATTTCATTATTTGTCAGCAGCTTGAAATTCTTTTGGTTGTCGTAAGGTAAAATTGGTTCTTGTAGGTTCTCCAATTCTGTAAGAAAAATGTAGAATTAATATGATTTAGTGTGTAGAAAAGAAAGCAATGTAATAATCAAAAGCTTATTTATGATATAAATAATGATTAAAAAGAATGACGTTTTTACCTCATAAACGATCCTACCTGAAGAATAGGAGACATTGTGATTAGCATAGCAAAATAGAAAGTACAATTATAGATGACCGTTACAGTAGAGTAAAAGCAGCTTATAAAATAAGTATAGAACTTTTCTTCAGGGTCATTTATACCCATTTCTAAAATTCTTCATTTACTCTGTGTACTCTTGTGAAATATAATTTAATCATAATTTTATTATAAGATGTTATAAAATATTAGTGGTGACTTTTTAAAATCTGTCTATACTTGAAAATATATATTTTAGTGTATAGATGCATTTCTTAGTCTAAGATTGGCCTAAATTATTTCAGCTTCTGAGTCACTAATGTTTTCATGGAAAGAAACATAATTTCTTACTTGAATATACTTTTCTAAAACATACGACCTGAATTATAATATAAAATTCTTCTGATAAGTATGATTTATCTGGTTTTAAAATATATATCACACATTATAATAAAATTTTGCTTAATAAGCCTTAGTGAATTTTTAACTCACTTATTATGTATTTTAGTCATTTACAGGTGGAGGATATAGATTGGGTAATTCCTTTTGTAAGCGGTCTGAATACATCTATGGAGAAAGTCAGCTGCAAGATGTAGGTACAATAATCAGAATGAATAAGTGTAGATATTTGCCTCTAGTTNTAACTGTATATTTCTGTTTTAAATATTTAACTTTTTGAGATTATAATCTTTCTATTAATGATTGAACAATGAGGCAGTTTCTTACATTTCTATGCAACATTTTTATTTACCTTTTAATTTTGAAATAATTGTAGGTCACAGAATTTGCAGAAAGAATACAGAGAGGTCACATGTGACTTTCCCCAGTTTCCCCCAGTGGTTACATCCTTCATGATTATAGTACAATATCAAAGCCAGGAATTTGATGTTGGTACAGTGTGTACATATGTTTATATCATTTTATCACGTGAAGATTTGTGTAATCAACAGCTCAATCAAAATACTACTCTGTTATCACAATGCTCTCCCTCGTGATGTACCCTTTTGTGATCACACCCACCTCCCTGTCTTTCACTGTCTCTAGCCACCACTAACTGGTTTTCCATCTCTATAATTTGATAATTATCTGATTTGGGAGTAGCTTTTTTAATTTGGTGTAAAGCCGTTGAGATCCATCAAAGTTATTGTGTGTATCAATACTTCATTCCTTTTTATTCCTGAGTAGCATTCCATGCTATGTATGCACCCCAGTTTGTTTAACCATTCATTCATTGAGGGACATTTTAGTTGTTTCCAGTTTTTGACTATTACAAATGAAGGAACTATGAGCAATCACGTACAGGTTTTTGTACAGGTACAAGTTTTCATTTATCTGGGATAAATGCCCATGAGTTCAATTTCTGGGTCCTGTAGTTAGGTTTTTAAGAAACTACCAAACTGTTTTTCAGAGTACTTGTACATTTTATAATCTCATAAAGTGTGAGAGATCCAGTTTTTCCACATCCTTGCCAGCATTTGGTGTCTTCACTATTTGTTTTTAATTGAAGCATAGTTGATTGTACGTTATCTGTGAGGTATCTATTTTTAATTTTAGCCATTTTGATAGGTGTGTAGTGATAAAACACTGTAGTTCTAATTTGCATCTCCCTAATGAATCGTTATGCTAATTTGCATTTTCCTAATGGCTAGTGATGTTGAACATCTTTTCATGTGCTTATTTGCCATTATCCCTATTGTGCTTTTCAATGAAATGTCTCTGTGACTTTTGCCCATTTTCTAACTGGATTGTGTGTTTTGTTACTGTTGAGTTTTAAGAGGTCTTTATATATATTTAAATAAGTATGGGTCCTTTGTCAGATATATGGTTTGCAAATATTTTCTCCCAGACTGTAATTTGAATNGTGAATTTGGAACTGAATTGGAAGATATGGGTAGTTAAAATATATGAGCTTTGATTGTCTTATCTGGGAAGTCTCCATGTTGATAGTTCATTGGTTATATTTTCTGATATCCTTGATTGAAAAAAAATCTTGAAAGATAAACATAGGGTACTAATTTTTCTAGGATCATTTATGAAGTAGGAGTCAGAGTAGAAATTAGTCACTATGTAGCTAATATACTGAAAAAATTGTGGTCTAAATTATTTGCTTATATTACAGGAGGCTGTAATGGAGTAGGTCTCTTTCAATCCAAAACTCTCTGAGGAATAAATCCTCTATGTGTAGTTCTGTACTTTAGAATTAGGTGTTTACACTGTCTAAATCTAGAGGTCTCTTTACTAACTAGATTTCTGCTGACTGTGGATTCCTTAGGGGGAAGGGATTAGCTTCTAGTTGTCAACACTGCTTTCCCCAGTACATCAAAACTTCCTAATTTGTGAAAGAGATACATTTGATAAGCGATTCCAAAATGCCCAGGGAGGAAGCAAGCCAGCCCCCTATCATGCTGATGCTGAACTTGCTATGAGAATCTCTGCACACGGAGTGAGAAAGGATCTAAACTATTTACCAATCTTTTCCTTAATCCCATTTTAAAAATTAAATATTTCCACAGACGTCACAGAATGCATCTTTTTAAAGGTTATTTCATAAGACTGTGAAGCTTATTACTTTAAAGTACTTATGTCTGTTATTCTAAGTTTTTATTCATGAACTGTGTTTTAAGGTTTTATGCAAGTGAACACGAATACAGTGGATTACATATAGTTCGGCCATCAACTGGGAGAATTGTGAATGAACTTTTCAGAGAGGCAAGGGAACATGGGGCTGTCCCTCTGAATGAAGCCACAAGAACTTCAGGTGATGACAAATCTAAGGTCAGTGCTCAGTTTTAAAACTAAGTATACTGTTTCTATGTTTGATCTCTATTTTTTATAATATTTACAAACATTGATTTTCTAACTGTATATTTCTGTTTTAAATATTTAACTTTTTGAGATTATAATCTTTCTATTAATGANCACCTGGCTCAGCCAGTGAGCGGGAACCGGTCTGTATGTGGGATCCGAACCCTCGGGCGGGGCCGGCCCGTTTCCAGTTTTTGACTATTACAAATGAAGGAACTATGAGCAATCACGTACAGGTTTTTGTACAGGTACAAGTTTTCATTTATCTGGGATAAATGCCCATGAGTTCAATTTCTGGGTCCTGTAGTTAGGTTTTTAAGAAACTACCAAACTGTTTTTCAGAGTACTTGTACATTTTATAATCTCATAAAGTGTGAGAGATCCAGTTTTTCCACATCCTTGCCAGCATTTGTAATGTGTGAGAGATCCAGTTTTTCCACATCCTTGCCAGCATTTGGTGTCGTCACTATTTGTTTTTAATTGAAGCATAGTTGATTGTACGTTATCTGTGAGGTATCTATTTTTAATTTTAGCCATTTTGATAGGTGTGTAGTGATAACACACTGTAGTTCTAATTTGCATCTCCCTAATGAATCGTTATGCTAATTTGCATTTTCCTAATGGCTAGTAATGTTGAACATCTTTTCATGTGCTTATTTGCCATTATCCCTATTGTGCTTTTCAATGAAATGTCTCTTTGTGACTTTTGCCCATTTTCTAACTGGATTGTGTGTTTTGTTACTGTTGAGTTTTAAGAGGTCTTTATATATATTTAAATAGGTATGGGTCCTTTGTCAGATATATGGTTTGCAAATATTTTCTCCCAGACTGTAATTTGAATTTTCATCTTTCTAACAGGTTTTTGTAGAGCAAAAGTTTTAAATTTACCCTTTTTTTTTTAATGGATCATGGTTTTGTTGTCTTAAGAACTTTTTTACCTAATTGTAGGTCCAAAAGATTTTCTCCTATATTATCTAGAAAAGTTTTATAGTTTTATATTTTACATTTAAACCTATGATCCATTTTGAATTAATTTGATATAAGATGTGAGTTTTACATCAAGGTTCATTTTTTGCTTTTGGATGTCAAGTTGTTCCAGCATCATTTGTTGAAAAAGCTCTCCTTCCTCCATTGAATTACTTTTGTACCTTCTTAAATTTCTATAAAACTTTCATACAGCTTTTATAACTTTATCAACTGACATAGTATTGGTATATTGAAGACTTCAAGTATCTTTTTGTGTATAACTGTCGTGTGTTCTTATAATCAGCATTTCTCAACTGTCATGTTTTTATGATCAGCATTCCCCCATGAAAATTATTTGGGGAGGCTTTCTAAACTACCAGATGGCCTCAGGTATTACAGTTCAGTAGATCTGAGGTGTGCCCCAATGTTTGTCTCTTGAAAAAGCCTCTTGTAATTTTTACAGCCACTGCTGAGAACCAACATGAATGAAACTTAAATTTTAGTTTTCATTTCATTATTTGTCAGCAGCTTGAAATTCTTTTGGTTGTCGTAAGGTAAAATTGGTTCTTGTAGGTTCTCCAATTCTGTAAGAAAAATGTAGAATTAATATGATTTAGTGTGTAGAAAAGAAAGCAATGTAATAATCAAAAGCTTATTTATGATATAAATAATGATTAAAAAGAATGACGTTTTTACCTCATAAACGATCCTACCTGAAGAATAGGAGACATTGTGATTAGCATAGCAAAATAGAAAGTACAATTATAGATGACCGTTACAGTAGAGTAAAAGCAGCTTATAAAATAAGTATAGAACTTTTCTTCAGGGTCATTTATACCCATTTCTAAAATTCTTCATTTACTCTGTGTACTCTTGTGAAATATAATTTAATCATAATTTTATTATAAGATGTTATAAAATATTAGTGGTGACTTTTTAAAATCTGTCTATACTTGAAAATATATATTTTAGTGTATAGATGCATTTCTTAGTCTAAGATTGGCCTAAATTATTTCAGCTTCTGAGTCACTAATGTTTTCATGGAAAGAAACATAATTTCTTACTTGAATATACTTTTCTAAAACATACGACCTGAATTATAATATAAAATTCTTCTGATAAGTATGATTTATCTGGTTTTAAAATATATATCACACATTATAATAACATTTTGCTTAATAAGCCTTAGTGAATTTTTAACTCACTTATTATGTATTTTAGTCATTTACAGGTGGAGGATATAGATTGGGTAATTCCTTTTGTAAGCGGTCTGAATACATCTATGGAGAAAGTCAGCTGCAAGATGTAGGTACAATAATCAGAATGAATAAGTGTAGATATTTGCCTCTAGTTCCTACTATTTTAAAACTAAAAATTGATAATATTGATAAAATTGATAATTGATAACAACTCTTTTGATGTTACTTTTTGAGACATGGGTTTAAAGGACCAGTGTTTAAGTTTTCAGTCCCAATTTTTATATTTGATATCTCAATCATGCCTTGCATTTAGAGATATATAACTATTTGTTGAAAGAATATGCGATTCACTGTCATAGTGAGCTTACATATAGATTATATTAATTATTAGAAATGGTGTACTGTCATAATATAAAATGAGTTGAGTTGTAAACATACAACTGAAGTCATTCTTTCTGTTGCTTTTTGATGTTATATTTTGGTGTTATAATTTCATTTTAAACATTTTTAGTTTCCTGGAAGGTCTCTCTCAATTCTGTCCTGATTCTTGGCATGAATATTTAAGCTTGTAGCAGAGAAGAGTACAGGTGCAGTGGAGGAGAAGGGAGGGAGCGGTGGGTGGCAGCTGGGTGCTCTTCTCATTGCTTCCGTTTTCTCAGTGAACCACCAGTAATTGTACCTCAAGGCCAGTATCCAGCTGCCGGACCTTTGATATTTGCAACCATTGTCAATTTGTCTAGCTAAATAACAGATCTGCTAAACAAACACACATGGTTTTATTTAGGCCTTTAACTGTGAGTAAAGAATAGTAC